AAAAAATTAGTAACTACAGAAAATTTGTTCAGTACGATAGGGGACAGCAAGCATTAGTTGTTGCCATAACTAATTCTGTTTTTCTGGAAACGCCTATTTGCCTCGAATGAAAAGTTTAGTTGAGTCATCTACGACGTTATTGTGGTAACTTATAAGCGTTTTTAGAGAATAATACCAAGTTTTATTTGCCACAATCAAGATACATTGTTATGACAATAAGATTGTTAGTACTGTTTCAATATATGTTTGTTATCACAACAAATTATCCCAGTTGGGGCAATTACTCATTTCTTCTGACGTTACTATTGAAAGTGATTTAGTAACGTTTGAAATATAATTTATTCATTCTGGCAACTTGATAGTTTCATATTAATTAAAATCAAGGCCCCATTCTAATAATAACAGTTTGTATGCGATTTTCCTTCCAATTTTCAATGGAATCGTGAACAGGAAAGAGAGGGAATTATAAATATACACCGTGTACACGTGACGTCGGTTGGACGTTTCTCACCGTCGCCCGTCGTAGACTGAACTGAATTGTGAATAGGTACCTAAACCTGATAACTAGTGACGCACAGATAACGATGGTAAATTGAGAATTATTATTTTACCAACCAAATGCCAAATGGCCTAGCGCGAAGTACAAAAAAACACAAAACAGTGATTTGAAAACACACAGAGCAGTGAACCAGCAAGAACACGACGCTCCCGGCTACACTAGACAATTATTTTATTTATTTTGTCTAAGCTCGACGACCGTGCGATCTACCCACTACTAAGATACAAGTTCAAATGATGAAACAGAAAGACAAATAGATGCAAGATGCAATTTTTGCCAGTGGGTCCCGAAGAGACGCAAGGCGGTCCCGAACGACGCAGTACAACTAAAATTATTAGTTATGGCTGAACAATTTCTGCTATGAATAAAAATAAACCTTTCACGATAAATGTGTCATCAGTTGTGGCAAATAGTCAGCTGTTGTTAGTAACCCCAGAATGAGGTTTTTTAACCCCAAAATGATATTTCAATTGACTGAATAGACAACACTGTGATAATTCTGTCACAAATAGTATTTTTATTGATGACAAATAATTGGCGAAAAATAGAAGAGTCATTTGTAGGAATAAGGATACGTTGTCATTGTTGATAAAATTCCAAATATTTTTAATTATCGGTACTGAAAAAATACCAACTAGACGTTTTAATTAACCAGTTTTTCTCTGTGAAGGGTGGGAGGAAGGGTGGAAGGAAGGGTGGAAGGAAGGGTGGGAGGAAGGAAGGAGGTGGGGATGGGCGATGAATATACTTAGGAAAATTGTGGAACAGTCGTACAAATGCGAAAAAATATATGCTGACAGTGCTGCTGTTGTTGAAACAGACGTATCTAGCAAAGAAGCAATGCCAGCCGCCTGAACTACCGCGAAATCGTAATACAGCGAAATTTGGGTAGGTAGGTATAACGGCCCATTCTTTTACGCGCTCTTTATATTCAATTTTTTTCGGACTCATTGTAGGTAACTCTACAATTTTTTCACTATTCAATTGATTCATTATCGTAGTTCGATATATTGAGTTAGTTTCATCTTATTCCTATTCCAAATTTGCAAAAAATAGTATTCTGTAGTACAACGTCCTGATTTTCAATAATTCCGTTACAACGCCATAACTCGGTATTGATTCATCCTATTGGATTTATTTTTTCACCAAAAGTTGAGGAATTCGTTGAGGATCATTTCGTCTCGATTGAGTGTGCTTCTAAAATCTATAGTAAATGAGCTATAGCCTATCAATTACGAACGCACCAGTACGGACTGATGTGAAATCTCAACCTACTAGTGTGACGTCAGCGTCGAGAGAAAGGGGATAGACTACGGCCCGGTGAGATAGAGTAGGCCCTGTCTCAAGCTGGCTACTTCCACGGCGCGTTGAACATCTTGCCGAGCGCCAAATTGCGCTCGGCGCATCGTTGATCTGGACTTGCACATTGTGGTAAAAACAGTGAGGTAGTCAACATCGTAAATCGAAATCATGAAACGCTTACAGAAATAGCGTATTGCTACCTGTCCTGCAGCAAAAAAAGAAAAGAGGAGGAGACGGTGATGGATGACGTCTCAGTATAAAAGTAGAAGTAGGTGAGTGAAACATTTTGCAAAACTAACTAGACTGTAGAAATCATTCAAAATGAGAAGGTAGCTTTAGCGCTGTATTTTTTACTGACAATACATTTACATTCATTTTTTTGCAGATATAATGCCACTGACATGTTAGGCGATTTACGACGTGAACCAACAAATTATTTTCAAAATTTTGTAGAATGTCATCAACAGATTTCGAATACATTTTGAATAAAATAGGTCCAGTTATAACGAAAAAGGACACGAATATGAGAGAAAGTATACCTATTCGAGACAGACTGGTTGTAACTCTAAGATTTTTGGCTACTGTAGATAGTTTTACGAGTTTGTCATATTTGTTTGAATTTTCTAATCAAACGGTATATTGGTGTGTGAAAGATGTATGCAAAGCTTTGAATAATGAACTCATGGATAAAATTAACGTAAGTATATTCAATTCTGCAGTAACGAATATCAACTGAAATTAACTTCAGTAATAACTTCCTTCATATAAGTAATTAATTCAAAACAAAGGTATCATGTATGAATCTAAATCTGAATACTGATGGGCCGGGTTCGCTTCGTATGAATCTTGATGTGATTCTTGAGTGCGAGACTGCTCATCTGTAGGTGGAACTATAGATACATATTGTGAGGTAAATGGCGAAGGCAAAGGAGTAGACACTGATGATTGAGAAAACTGGGGTGATGGCTGTTGAGAATGCTGAGAGTTTATGGTGTAAGCTTGGTAGGAATAGTGATTTGAGGACTGATGTTGTGAGGTTACTGATGATGGAGCGTGACTGTTCAGGTAGGGGATGTGAAGCAGTGAATGGGTTTTCCATTGGCTGTACATACTGACTAAACCAAGGATTGTATGCAGTATCAAATTGTGGGGCCTGGTATATGTAATTTTTCTGCAGCCTAAATCGAAACATTAAAGTCTATTTCAAGCATTGCGAGTCCTCTAGCGTTTCCATCTAACGATCTCAATTTTGATGCAAGCAACCTTGATTAGTTCAAACACTAATATTTCACCTCTACTAGATCATGCAGAAACTTTAATGACCGAAGCTGAGGCTTGGTTTTCTGCGAATAATTTACGACTGAATAGAGAAAAAAATCAGAATCTCATGATTTCCAGCAGTAGTCAAGTCACGGCAGGGAACTATTGTAAATTGCTTGGAATTATTTTAGATGACTCTCTGAATTGGTCACATCAGGTGAATTCTCTTAGTACCAGGCTAGCCAGTGTTTTATTTCTGCTGAGACAACTCAGACAATGCTTGCATCAGACGATGTTGAAACATATATATTTTGGCCTTTTTCACTCTTTGATCAGCTATGGCACTGTTCTGTGGGGTAACTCAGTTGAAGCTATGAAAATTTTTAGGTTACAAAAATGAGCAATAAGATTAATAGCAGGGGTTGGTTATAGAGAGCACTGCCAACCTTCATTCAAGCAGTTAGGAATCTTACCTCTCCCATGTATTTACATCTTTCAAAATTTGAGAGAAATTCATTCCAGAAGACTGAGCATTCCAAGAGTTTCTAGCCTTCATCATCACAACACACGGTCTGCTGATGCAAATGATTTACTTTTGCCTCGCTATAGATTAGTCAAAACTGAGAAAAATTCGTTGAACTTCAAGCTTTACAATAAATTACCAAATCAGGTCAAATCTATGAATGAAATATGCTTCAGAACTACTGTGAAGAAACACCTTCTCAGATATTGTTTTTATTCGGTTGATGAATTTAATCAAACTTCAATTTTATGAATTTTATGTACTTGTGATACGATCGAGGATGCTATCTTGTAATGTTATGTTTGTTTTATCTTTGTATTCTTTTCATTGTGTATTTCAGCGTTCTGTTCGTTTGTCTTTATATAGTATTTCAATACATGTGTGCTTTTAAACTGACTTGCTATAAACCATTTTTGTATGAGTTACATAGTCAAATATATCTATCTATCTATCTATCTATCCATATAATGAACATTCATCCGAAGTAGTTGATTCGGACTCGGATACTTTTTTTTAAAGATTTGATAGGCTTCCTCCATGCGAGTTTTGGCAGTAGTAATATTTTGCTCCTTCCTTTTTTCCCCTTTTGTGTACCTATAATAGCAGACTTGGCATTAGTGTTTTGATTTGCAGGCTTCATGGTGAATCTAGGTGCTGCTGGGTTTGAATTATTCTCTATCGTCTCTTTCCCGTCTGCTTTATCACTCTCACTTTGGTAGGTATTTTCAGGAGTCAGATACGTCCTCGGCGACCTGAAATATGTAACACAGTGGCAAATTTCAACTGAAAGAAGTACAAGATTGAAAATAAGACTGTCAAATTCATTTTTCATAATTTATAATTGGAGGGTTCAGAATACAATACAGTTAAAGCTTCTCAACAAAATCACCTCTCAACATTTTTGGAAGCATATTTTCAATTTGAGAAGTTCAAGGAGTAACTTAGAGATCTACATAGGTTTTATTGGCCAAATTTCACGCGACGGTGCTTTCCCCTTGCGTCAATTACAGCAGCAACTTCAGCTCTATTCAAACATCTGTATAATCTTCCCCAACTCATTTGTAACATAGCAAGAAAGTAGGTCTTACAAACCCTCAGCTGATTATTATGTTCATCCGGAATAACGTACTGATACACCTTTGATTTTGCTTCTCCTGATCCGTCTCTTGTCCGACGCCTACTGACAGTTGAGGCCTTAACTAAGCCTCGCGAAAAACAGTTTTGTTTTGAGTAATCTGCCAGTTTCCAAAATGAATCAAAAAAAGATTTCAATGCATCTTCAGAAGGCAACTTCTCAGGGCACTTCCTGGGGCATTTACAGTCATATCCAGAGGGAAATATATTTGCATCCGTTACCTTATTACTGCGAGATGTGTACTCTTTACCGCTGTTACGATTCAACTTCCTCTTGTTAATTTTCCAGTTTTCAAAGTTCCTCGGACGCTTTCTTCCTCGAGAAATCTCTTCATTTTCGCCATCTGAATGGACAGAGGAAGGAATGATGTTGCTGTCATCAGTGTCCGAGGCAGGTACGATGATGTCACCTGGAGCTCCATCACCTTGAAACTAATTCATATATAAACAATATTTTTCCATAGGTACAAAACATTTTAATAACACAAACAAGGCTTATGGCCTAGTTGAAAACTTATTGAAACAATATTAATTCAAGAGATTTGAATTTTTCCATTTCTCCTTGATGTACTGGGTTGAGTCAGATCATGAGAAATGTTTTCGTTTAGCAGGCTCTTGGACGGACCCATCCGTTTCAAGTTGGCTGACAGAACAGTAGTGTTGTCGTCAGATGAAGTATCACCCTCTAAAAAAGAGAGATATAATATAGAAGTAGATGTTTACTGCAGAACAGTATTTGGTTTAGGCCTACACGACTCAACCAATATCAAATAGCTATACTTTTAGTAGCAATCCTAACCTAAAAAAAAAAAAAACATTGTATTTACCTGTGTCACGTTCGTCTGGCGACCACTCTTCACCTGAACCAGATGAAATATCCATTGCAGAATACAACTAGCCAACATAAATAATTTGTAATAAACTGCCATAAGCTCTGAATGAAGGGTTTGAAGCACGTCAACACAGAACTGTTAACAGTGAACAAAGATCACTTGGACTTGGTTCAGTTCTATTCTGAGAGAAAATAACAATCTGTCAGTAAACAAAAGAACTTGCTGCTGCCTAGTGGATATTATCAGAGCTAGGACTTGGTTCATTACAACACTGAAATTTTACATATTTGGTGCATGTTATAGCGTTGCTAACTCAATAATGACTAAAAGTGGACTTGGTTCACTTGTATTCTGAACCCTCCAATTATCAAGTAGGGATGAATTTATTTCCAGTTGCCCAAAACACCAGATGAATGGCGCAAAATTGCTCGAGAGTTTGAGAAAAATTGGAATTTATCGCATAGTCTGGGCGCCATAGACGGCAAGCACATAGTCATCCAATCCCCAATGAACAGCAGGTCAGAGTTTTTCAATTATAAGGAAATTTCAGAGTGGTACTTATACACGGAAAAAAATATTGGCTATAGGTACTAAAATATGGGTAGATGGAACAAAAAAATAAGTACCTATAGAGACAGCAAAAAACTATGTTACTGCAACAAAACTTACCTTCTAGTACCCGAAGCAAACCAAACTTTTCGCAGTTTGGCTGCCTGTAACAACATTTCTCAAGCTGTTAAAGCTAATATCTTTGTTGTATGAGACAAGATATCTGCTAATATTTTTGTTTTACGAGCTAAAGACTTAAGTCACCATAGAGGATAAGTTAAGCTTTCATTCCGAATACTAGACATACCGGACTAATATTTTTGCACTCACAGCAATTATTTTCAGGTATGAATACAAATGCAATTGCTATATAAAGTACTTTATTTGATGCTTTCAGCCAAATATTTTTGCTCGAGTAGCAAGTTTTTTCAGGTATTGTTACAAATGCAATTGCTATAAGAAACACTATATTCGATACTTTCAGCCAAATGTTTTCGCACTGGTAGCAATTATTTTTTGACATCATTGCAAATGCAATTGCTATATGAAGTACTCTATTCGATGCTTCCAGCCAATATTTTTGCTCCAGTAGCAAGTATTTTCAAGTATTGTCACAAATGCAATTGCTATAAGACACACTATATTTGACACTTTCAGCCAAATATTTTTGCTCCTGTAGCAACTATTAACAGGTATTATTACAAATGCTATTGCTATAAGTAACACTACTTTCAGCTAAATATGTTTGCACTTATCCTACATTTAACTGCTATATACAGGGTGTTATCGAAATAAATGCAAATATTTCATATTCCTGAAATTCACCCGCTCCAAGCTGCAGACATTGCAAGTTGCCAGAAAAAATCGTTAATTTTGAATTGTGGCTACAATTATCCATCAAATGTTTGCAGGCCCTTGGACTTTTAGACGCTCTATTCATTTCTTGCTCAATTAGGTACCTCTGATTCAAAGAATGAATGTGGATTGCCTACAGTTTTTTTTTGCTTTGTTAGGGATGAATTTTAGGACACATGTTTATGGAAAAAAGTCTTATTTTGACCTCAGGAATACGCCCTTGAAATATTTGTATTTATTTCGATAACACACCCCTTTTTTTGGCAAGATCTACTTTTATCAAACTTGGTTCCCTTAAATTCCAGATTAAGACTGATAATATTCTGGGAGTGAATGTAACACCAAGTGTGAATATTATCCTCGATATATTCTGTCATATTTTTTTTTATATTTTCTGAAAATAAGTTATTCAGGATATGTCGTTTTCCAAAAACCTACGAATATGTGATTGTGAAAGCTGATTCAACTGATTACAGGATAAATAATATTTGTCAATATCAAAGAAATCTACGATTTGTTTATTTCATTAGCTACCTGAATCTTGTAGGTACATACTGATGTTGTTCTGAAAATTTCAGGCATAAGAGATAAAACATTATAAAAATAACATATATATTTATTTATCAAGTGAAAATAATTAGTAAAATTAATACTTGGATTTTCATGAAGGTGATTTCAACTCAAAAAAATCATTACTTAGTATCAGCATAGTTCACTTTTTATAATGAGAATTTCAACTCAACTAATTGTGTAACATGTGTCCTCGAAGCAGCATTTTTCAACTCAAACATCTTAACAGAGCTCAATCTTATGGAGGCTCTGTATAAATAAAAATGATTTTTTTAACAAAACTGAAAAGCTGAGCAAGTTCTCATCATGCAACTTCACTACCTCGAAAAAGCCTTGATGAGTAGGTATCACTTAAGAGTGAGCTCTTCTACAATGTTCGAATAAAGTGCACTGGAAACTAAATTTTCTGTCCATATGCACAATAAATAATAACCTACCCATATAATAACAAATCTCATGAAAGCACAAAAGTGATGTTTGTTGTAGTACAAAAATTAAATTGTTTGGAATTCTAAGTGAACAGGGAGTTTGGAAATGAAAAAATAAAGAACATTCATTATTCCAAAAATTTTTTGGGATTTTCTCTCCTCGTTTCTATAAAATGAAAATATGAATATTATTTCAATATACGTGTAGTAAGGACAAATCAGATGATTTGCTCCAAAATGTCACTGCGTTTAAAGAATTTTCCTATCAGAGAGCCTAAAAGAAAAATTCACTAGCTTGTCAGTAGGAAAATTCTTTAAACGCAGTGACATTTTGGGGCAAATCATCTGATTTCTCCTTACTACACGTATATCGAAATAATATTCATATTTTTATTTTATAGAAACGAGGAGAGAAGATCCCAAAAAATTTAGAATAATGAATGTACCACCTCTTCGATTAACCTACAGACAGTATTTAAAGAACATTATATTATGAAGACACACGAGAATGATAATTTCTTTTTCAGACCGAATAGTTCAAACTAACAAAATAAACATATCTTTGCAATATGTGACATGGTAGAGGATCGATCAAATCTTTGAATGGAATAAAAATTTTATTATCTATCAAGGAAACTTCATAAGCATGAACATGTTCATCGAAACAAATATTTGTCGTATCGAAACCAACAAAACCAATTTTTTCATTACACATCAAAACATTTTCAATAATATAAAATATTGGAGCCATATCATTCAAACTGCCTATAACAGCGACACCTTTTCTATATATTATTCCATCGATGGATATCCACTTTCGAGTTGTACAATGATTTCTAAAGTCATCAGTATGACAATTTTGTGATAGAGTATTATCAATTTGGTATTGGTAATTTGGACCCAGCAAATAGTTACGCCTTAGAACTTCATGATTTGAGAATCGATTGCATAATATAAGTTGATGTTTCAATGCTAAGGTGTAGGTTATATTCCTTCTTGAAGATGTTACGTTAACGGTCATTTTAGATTGTCGATGCTTTGACTCAAATCTCATTGTTGAAATATGTCGTAAGGGGCCCACCATTTTCATAATATGTGCGTAATGAAGAAGAAAATGAAATTTGGGTTTCAAGGTATCCCCAAACAAATTAATGAATAACTCGTTGTGTTCAATGATAACTATATCCAATTGTTTTGCCATCTGAAATGATATTACATTTGCTAAAACGATATCTGAAATTTCTCTAAGCGACAAATATAATTCCCATATGGGATCTGATATGGGGACGAGATCACCTACTAGTAAGCCAAAAAACCTGATGAAGCACATCATTTCAGAAGCTGACATGGAAAGTTTAGCTATCTTTTCAAAATTTTGTGAGATAAGAGGAGGCTTATTTTTCAAATCAATACCATAACAAAACGATTTGATGCGAAAATTAAGAGTTTCTAAAGAAAAATATTTCTTAACAGTGATTTAATGTTTTGAAATGTTAATTAAGTCATAGTGAGCAACACCCTCCAATATATCATGCATATAGTCTACACTTGAATTTTGTGTGACATGAAATGTTGGTATTTCATTCAATGCACATGGTTCCTTTATTCCAGTCTGACTACAATCATCAAGTATAATGTATTCATTATAATTAATTTCATTACGCAATGTAACATTTTGAATATGGCATGAAGTCTGTGAAACATTTTCAGACAATGTGCAAAATCTGCAATGAAAGTTTGACGAAAAGCTTTCCACTAAACCAAGTATAGAATGCAGCCCAAGATTATCCCCTAATACTAAACCTTATACGAAATAAATTGTTTTACTCTTTCCATCAATTGTTACATCAATACCATTCTTCTTTAAAAATGTCAACTTCTCTACTACAGGTTTGAGTATACATTTATTACCGAATTGTTTCCGATCATCTGAATGAAAGAGGGCTACTCAAATGATATTATTCAAAGTTCTTCGATATTCTGGGGGCAAGAATGGTAAACTCATATATACAGCTCCTAATTTGTATAAACCTGCATGTGAACCTAAGGGGTTGTTTGTTTCATAATCGTCAAAATATAAAAAAACGGGATAAACAATATCACCATCACTATAATTATTCAACTTCGAATGCCATATAGTGCTTTGTGTAAAATTTGAAACATTGCTTTCTTTCCCCAAACTATTTACATTTGTATTCACTACTTAGAAAAAATCAGGTAATTCAAATAAACACTTCAATATATGCCTAACTGGTACAAATTGTGCTGTAACAGATACTTTTCTTAAAGATGAATGTGCTCTTGAAACATTAGCATCCATTCGATTACCAATTTCATATGCAATTGGTTTAATCAAGCAACTGGATTTTTCTAAATCTTCAAATCGAAGATATTCGGAAGACAAGTGTTCAAATGGGTTTTTTTAAGAAATCAAACATCAAATTTATGTTTTAATAGAATCTATCATCAATGCCCAAGGAAGTCAACTCATCATTAACTCTTTTTTGAATAACTTCCAGAAAACCTCCATTCATGAAATTTGAAAATTTGTCAATTATAACTTGCACCATATTTCTTGGCAATGACTCTATGGAAAATAGTTTCATTACAAAAGTTTTTGATCGAATTTGAATCGAATTCGCAAAAC